CAGTACATCCATCATCGGCTGATCCATCTCACTCCAGCTGACTACGATGACTTTGTGAATGCCATCCGCAGCGCCAGAAGCGCCTTCTGCCTGACTCCCATGGGCATGATGCAGTTTAATGATATTCTCCAGAACCTAAAGCGCAGCAAGCAGACAAAGGAGCTGTGGCAAAGGGTCTCTCTGGAAATGACCACCTTCTCTCCGTGACAGCAGGCGGAGCTCCACGGACACACATTTGCCCCGCATAGTTGTAGTTCCATTTACACCATCCTTCCTTCTGGTGTCTTTTTTATTTTAGTTTTAACTTGTTGGAAACCACTGATCTGATGTATTTATACCATGACATTCCTCTCCAGCACTGTTGCGTGTTGGCGCTCTGCTTTGCTCGCTCTTCCTCCTCCTTCCCAGTGGGCTGCAGGCTTCAGAAGCATCAGGAAACGAGAAGGAAGTTGAGCTGGCTGCCCTGTGGTGTAGTCACTGCTTTTTTCCCTGAGCCCCTGGAGGCTGTCCTGCGAGCAGTTTGCAGTGTGATTACGCACGTGTTAGAGGGGTGGGGGATTCTGTCTTAAATATTTATTTTGGCATTTATAAATATGTAAACTTTTTTTTTTTTTGTATGGGCTTCTCTTACTCCACACACCATCTCCTGTTGGGAGAGGCTGGGACTGCTGTGCACAGCCAGTGCTCCCTCCATTCCTTTCAGCACCTCCTGCTGAGAGAAGCTGAGACTGGAGTAGCAGGGCCAGGGCCACCTCTGTGGCTCTCTGCAGCAACTGCTGAGGGCAGAGGCTGGAGCTTGGGCAGCCAGAGTCCATGACTGTGCTGAGCTGCTTGGAGACTGCCAGAAGTGCTTGGGCTCTTTCTCAGGAGTGTCCCTCGCTGGGCCCTGCTGGCTTGTAGGATGTTTTGATCCTGGTCGTTCCAAGTTGTACAATCGTGTTTCTTTTGGCTGGGGTATTACTCTCCTGTTATCAGTTTCTTATCCCTTGTCTCTTCTCGTTTCCTGATTAAACACTCGTTTTCTTAGACTGACTCTCTTCTCTCTGCCATGATGTTGACAGTCTGATGGAACTGGCCACCTGTGTGTCAGTGGGAGCTCCTGTGAGCCCTGGTGGATAACTGTCCTGCCTTGGGGAACAGCAGTCCAGCACAGGGCAGGTGGCCAGAGCTTTTACACAAGCTTTGAGCCAGAAGTTCCTTGCCTGGTACTGCTCTGAGAATGACATGCCTCTGCAAAGGCTGAGGTACGTGCGGACTGGGTCGCTGATGGGTGTCAGGGGAGTTGGTGGTAAGCCTGGGATATTCTGCCTATGCTTCCGCCAGTCACTAGGTTCCTTTTCTGGTCTTGACACCGGTGATATCGTGTGGTAATGCGGAGCTTTGTATTTCCAAAGTATTGTGCAAAACAGTAGCTGCTCTCCCTTGATGTAATTGTTAAAGAAGGCTAGTGGTCTGCTCCCTGCGTTTAGAGAGATGTTTGGTGGACTATGCAAGGTATCCAATAGGGACAGCATTGCAGAAAATTGGTTTTAGAAAGCTTTTATTTTTATGCCAAGGAAATTTAAAAGGCTACTGCCATTTGTAAGCGTACAAGCACGTACATTTCAGGGCTTTTAAAACTGGAAGTCAGATGATTGATGGATGTTAAGAATCCAATTTCTCAGTAGTAATGTATTTTGCTTCTTACTTGGGTTTAGCCAATGATAATGGGGAGCTTTTAGTTTCTGCAAGCTAGAAATATGTGCCTGTTTGTATTTGATGTTTTCAGTGATACTCTTAAAAAATAAGCAAACTAACTCATAGGCATAGGGCAGAACAGATGGACAGGCTCCCTTGGTTTGACTTTGTGTACTGCACAGACCAGAGAGTGTGACTGAGGTTCCTCTACTTCTGATTGTTCGACAGTAACTATTTAAAGATCTCTTTACAGCCCTTTGTATTCCTCCATAAGGTGTCTAGTTACATGCTAATTATAAATGCTGATGTTTGTAAGAATGTGTTAAGTTTTGTGGTTTTTAAACTAAACTCCATGTTGATTATGAGCTGCCTGTTATTGGGCAAAACTCCTGGATTTGACTGGAGAGCACAGCCTGATGTCTGGAAGGTTTGGGTTCCTGGAGCACTTTCTGTGCTCTCTGGTTCTTGCATGTTCAGAGCTGGGAAAGGAGTTTGGAGAAAAATGAGTTTTCTAATAAAGTCTAATCTTTTCCTTTCTACTGCTTATAGGAGAAAATTAGGGGAGGAGAAGGGAGCATCTTCTAGAAGGAAAGAAGCAGAAGGGAAATGGGCAAAAGAGCCGAATGTGTTAAATATCAGGAGTAGAAGTGACTGTTACTGCATTGAGGAGTTGGACTGAATAGGGAAATGAAATGGCAGAGCTTTATCTGTGATATCTATTAGAAGACTACACTTAGACCCTGAGCAGGCAAGTTTTCAGACTACTGTAATTAAAAAACACCAGGAGCACGAGAGCACTGTCACCAATATCTTTGTTTTGGGAAAATACAGTGGAGCTGCTTACCGTGAGGTTAGAATGGACTTTATCTGGAAGTGTACTTTCTTTCATCCTGTGTAGCCCCCATAAAGACCGTAAGAGAAGAGAAATCACAGTGCCCATTACTTTTCACTGTGCTCAAAACTTTCTCTCTTTGGTTATTTTACCCATTCTAGTCCTCGTACAGATTGCACTGCTTCCATATGACAGACCCTGTCAGAGTTGTCTTCCAGCAGCTGCAGGGCCCAAACAGAGGAAGAGCCAGGGAATCTCACCTCAGGCTGACATTGACTGAACAAGCAGCTCAATGGTATGAGGCACAGGTCAGTAGTTTCAGAAGTTTCGTCTTTTCTCTGAAAAAATTCCTCAGAGTGAGCAGAGATGGGAGCTGTGTGGAGGTGCTGCACGCTCATTTGTTCAGGTCTTCTGGAACACACTTTCAGTCCTGGATCTCTGCATCTGTTAATCTGTTGTTGTTCCTGAGCCGTATCCCATGGAAATATATCTGAGCAAGGACAGGAGAAAGTAACAAAGGAGATGATGATGTTTTTTCTTGCCGTGTGGCTGGGAGGTTCTTGAGGTATTTTTCCTTTATAGGAGATGAGATGAGCCCTGGTGGCCCCAGAAGCATTAATCTACTATTAAAGCAGAAAAATTATTACCCAGTGCAGTCTTGTTAGTTTGGTCACTATTCCACGAGTGGGGAAAATATTTAGGCTCAGAAATTCTGAAAAGACATTTCAGCAGAAGACCTGTAGAAGAACAGAGGTCGCAGCCAACTCAGATTTCCTTTGACTTTCAGGTAACCCATGTGTTTTTTTCACTTAGAGTAAATGTTCTCTAGCTCCTCGCCCTTACCAGCAACACATGAAGCGGCTGCAGTGAAGGCCAGCTGCCATAGCCGCTGGATGCTTTAGAGCTCTTCCAGTGTAGAAATGGTTTTACATAGCTGAGAAGCTGTTTTCTGTGTTGGCTACCACCTCTTCCCAGGCTGGGCAGCAAATGCTGAACTTAGTACTAGTAACCACAGGTATTTGCCTGGATAGGGCCTGGCCCCCACTTGCATGAAGACAGATGACATTCTGTGACGGGAGACCTTGCAATGGGTTATTGTCATGTTTGGTGAAGTCTAATTCACTGTCCGTTCCTTGAAGGTAAGATGAATAAGGTCTTTAGACTATACTTCCTGTGTCTTCTGTTCACAATGACTTGCTTTCACTTGCCAGATTTGTTTTCTCTTGTGACCATAGGAAATATACTTTCCCTTTTAGCTGTTAGTGTCTCTGGAAATAACAGCTCACTTCAGTGGGGAGTGGGAGAAGTCAAATTTGTACAGGTGCAGATGAAACCAACTGAGAAGTGGCTGATGTCTTTACTGCAAGATACCCATGGGCCAGTTTTCTGGCCTGCTAGTGTTGAAGATCAAACCGCTTAATAGTGGTAATGAGGGCAGTGTGCTAAGGGCAGCCTTGCACTCTGACTTAACCCACTGTCTGCACTTGAAGTTTCATGCGTACTTCAGCTAAACAATCTGGCATGGTGCAGAGATGTGCATTTTGATGCTCTGTCCAGGGATCAGTACATGCAGATAAAAGCAGATGGTGTTCCAGTGTTAGGATCACATCATAGAATCATAGAATGGTTTGGGTTGCAAGAGACCTTAAAGATCATCTAGTTCCAACCCCCCTGCCATGGTCAGGGACACCTTCCACTAGACCAGGTTGCTCAGAGCCCCATCCAACC